TCAAGGTCAAACTGCTAATATCATAAAATAGATCTTTTTAAACCCTACAACTTTTGTATTTAACATTTTTTTATACAACGCTTTGTTTTCGAGATATTCAGGTGTTCCGGTATATAATATTCACCCTGTATACATACATACATACATACATACATACATATATATGTATATATATATATGTATGTATGTATGTATGTATGTATGTATATATATATATATATATGTATATATATGTATGATATATATATATATATATGTATGATATATATATATATATGTATGTATATATATATATACATGTATGTATGTATATATATATATGTATGTATGTATATATATATATATATATATATATATATATATATATATATATACACATACATACATACATACATACATACATATATATATATATATACATATATATACATACATATATATACATATATATATATATGTATGTATGTATGTATATGTATATATGTGTGTATATATATATATACACATGTCTGATAATACATATAAATTTTTCGTGTACGTGTAGATTAGATCAAACTGAACAAAAAATTTTTTCAACATTTTGCGAACTATCGCGTAAAATTTTGAGTTAAGAAGGAAAGAAAATAATCACATGTGATATGACGAAAAAAATATGGCAGAGACAGTGTCTGAACCGCTGATTATCCACGGCTCTTCTTTATCGCCATGCGACATCAAGTGTCGAGCAATAAAAAACTAGACGGGAGAAGCAACCAGCCAACGGCGATCAGCGCGGTTCAGATACTATTTCTATCGCATTCCTTTCGCTATATTACATTTTCTTTAATAACTCAAAATCTTATGTGACTGTTCACAAAATAATGAAAAAAATTTTTGTTCAGCTCATTTAATTCTACATATTCATGACAAATCTATATCATCAGACACTCTGTATATTCCTATTATATAAGTACATTATATTATTTATTAGAAACATACATGTATATAGATATTTCTTCATTGAGAAAATAAAAATATTTTAACTTACTATAAGAATTATATTCATTTTCGTCATCAGACTCAGATGGATCACCTTGATTTTGCCTTCCAAACTTGTGACTTCTCGCTAAAAAACAAAAATATGCATGTGTAATTGAGATAAACTTATATATTTATAATAATGTCATTTACAAAGAACACTGTCACATTAACTACACATGCTCATTACACGTACGCACGCACGCACGCACGCACACGCACGCGCGCGCGCACACACACACACATACACACAACTCACTAGACATGCTTAGATCCTTAGTCTGTGATGTCTCAAAACTGCACTTTGGACAAGGAATAGGTTTATTTTTTTCATATTTAAAACCTTTTCTACGAACATGATCTTCACAATAGCATGTTTTACACCTAAGACAAGAATATTGTCCTAAACGGTTACACGACTGACCTAAAAATTATAAATTTAGCATATTAGATCATAATTAAGATAGAAAAAAATAGAATATATCTTATAGAAACAGTTACATTTAAAATTTTCAGCCTCTAATACTTGGCAGGATGCTTGATGTTCAAATTGATCATCTTCACACAAGAAGCAATTACAAAATGAGCAACGAAATATTCTTCCCCCATGATCCCAAACTCCTCGTTCACATTCTTGACAAATAGCATCTACCAGTGGGCAAGTACAAGCATGGGTGGTGAGGCAACGTCTTCCATGACAAACCCAGGCTTCACAATAATCGCATATGGCTCCCTGATATAATTGACAATTCAACTATTAACAATATTATTAAATTTAAAACACTGCTTTTATAGTTTAAAATTATTGCAAATTTACTTGCCACCATTCCTAGTCCTGTTGTGAAGACACCAGGATGACGTATTACACAATCTCCTGTTTTTAACATACACTTAATTTTGCCACAATGTGCACATATGGGTAATCTTTGTAAATTTTGACAAAAGTAACAGAAGGCACGGCTTTTTTGCTTCTTGCCACATTTATCACATTCCTATAATTAATAGAACAATTGTATTTTAATTACATGATTTCGCAATTCCGTATATAACACATATATAATTATATATTATTAGTATAATATTCACCATGACTGAATTGCAAGGATATTTTGCTAAGTCTAATTGTTCCTTAGCAGTTCTAATCTCTTTCTGTCGAAGTTTTTGCTTTTCAGCTTTCCTCCGTTGACCAGTTTTTTTTTTCGGCATTTTATTTTATTAATGACACACGTTTAAAGGACACGTTTGTTATGGAAAATTCGGTGTCTTACAACTCTTTATTACTTTCAATTGTAATTAATATGATTGTGTATACTCGATTGTACACTGATGGGTGTTAATTGAGTCCTTTTTCGGTGTAGAATAGTAAGCCTACAGTCTGTTCTTTTCAGCTGCACTGTGAGACAAGTATATGTTTTCTCACTCTAAAGCCAGTGGCACACGATGCTTGTTTTTATGCTGGATTGCTTGCTGATTGATGCATTTCTGAAGATGGATGGAAATACACCAATCAAAACAAAGTATTTCCATCCAGCAAGCAATTTAGCACGAAAATAAGCACCGTGTGCCGCTGGCTTAATTTATTGCACCAGTTCAGCAGTGCAGCTGAAAAGAACTGGGTAGTAATCATGAATCTTTCACGTGAACTTCATTTTCATTTTTCACTTTTCACTATAAGTTATTTCACATGAAAAGTAAACAATGAAAATGTGGAAAGCAATATTTATGTAATATAAATTATTAAAATTAAAATTTAATTACAGTATACACAATGTAATATATAATACACTAATAAGCATTATACAACTTAAATTTATAGTTATAATATAATAATACGAGTAAATTTAATAAATGAGACGAACGTTAACCATGAAAGGTGAATTCTCAAAACGTGAAATATTTCACGTGAACTTTCAGTTTGCTCGTATATGTTCTTCTTTACATGTAAATTGTGTAAGTTTCCATGAAAATTTTTAAGCATCAAGCGATGTGGTTTAAATGTGAAAAATAATGGCTGCATTCAGTAGACTCAACAGTTGGGCAACATTACTAGATTTTCTACTGAATGGGCGCATTCAGTAGAAAAAGCGCTCAGTGAGCAATCAACGATTATTGGTTCTTGCTATTAGATCCCTAAATCTAGACCAATTACATTGACAAATTACTCAACTGTTGTGCAACTGTTGAGTCTGCTGAATGCAGCCAATGACGCTCGGCTCAGTTGTTACATCTCAACAAGTTGAGGGAGCGGACGCCATATTTTGTAGCGGTTTTTATTTACGCTATTTGAGCGGAAAGTGATACAATCTAACATGGCGACGTCTAGTGAGAAAAGTGATGTCATAGAAAAAATATATGAATATAAAGGAGAGTTATATAAAATAATAGAAAATGCTGATTTTCATACTCGTCTTCAATCAGGTATGTAAGAATAATAATAAATTTTATTATTTGAAATAATTTAATGTAATATATTTATTATTATTAATAATCTAACCTCTCTTTTTGTAATATACTTGCATGTATTACTGACATTACTGGCATAAAAAATATTTTGATTTATTGTTTTGTTATTACTAGTATAATATCTGTAAAGGCTTAAACTAATGGCTGACTTAATGGTTAAAAACAATTATGCCTTAAAATAAAAATGTAAGGCATATTTGTTTTTAAGTATTAAATCATATGTTTATCTTTACTTAATTTGAAGGAAAAACAAAGACAGAGATATAATTTAACTATCAATTAACTTACCAAGAAGTTGGAACAATCGATCCTTAAACCTTAATCACATATATTATTTTGTTAACATTTACAAGAAATATTTATAAGTGTAAGAAATACTTATACATACTTATACATGTAAAAATATTAAATTAACAATAATTAAACTGTATTACACATTGTCGTAAGTTCACAAGATAGCTATTCTGCTTAGGTCCTGTATGAACGTATAGATTTCCTGTAATAACATAACATAACTTTATAATGCAATGTTGTTTTATAAATTATTCGTAAGTATTTCAAATTTAATTTTACTGTCAAACTACTCTTAACTTAATCTTATCCGCTTTTATTTTAAAGTAATACATTAGAAGTAGCCATCTTTACTAGTAGCGATATCACAAACGAATCCAGTAGAAAATTCATAGCGGAATTCGATCCATCGGAAACAGATGTCTCAACTGTTGAGTCTACTGAATGCAGCCAATGTAATACTACACTCGCATATTGTAACGTCCGGATCTATTTTAGAACATTAATAATATATTATTATAGACCGGGAGGCCGACTTGTCTGATTTCAGACATCACTAGACATTTTATCCCTATGTTACTAGATGTAAGTACGTGCGCATATGTATATTCGCGAGCGTTAAAACATTATAATTAAAATGCCGAATGCTGCGTGCTGCTAGAGAGTCTTGAAATCGATGGATT